TGTGACCACCAACCTGTCCTTCCTTTGGGTCTTCAAGCCCTTTGATTTCAAAGGCCAGAAGTTAAGACTTTCAATCCTGACTCCACTGACCACCAACCCTGGGAAGACCCTAGGCCCCCCAGTATCATTGGATTTCCTGCCCCGGCACAAGAGCCATATTTATGTCAATACAAAAGGCCTTTGGTCACCAAAACGCCACGGATGCAAAGGGTTAGCCTGCAGTGGCGCACAGACGCTCTCCCGCCCATCAGCTGGCTTCTAAGAATATTTGGAAGACGAGTGAGGTAATGCATTCCATATGCTAAAGAGAAAGACGATTTAGCACTGTGCACGGTAGAGTGGGGACGGCCCCACTGGGTCACAAGGTGACCTTGGATGAGACATTCCCTGCTTTTGGTCCCAGTTACCTCATCTAAAAGGTGCGAGCAGTAAAATCTTCCCTCACAAGGGTGGCTGTGAGGACCATGTGAGGCCATCCATGTGGAAGGCCTCCGTAAACTGTGAAATGCTCCGCACGTGTCGGCCAGTATTAGCGGTTAACGCGTGTGCTTGTTTATTGTTTCAGCGGAGAGTTCAGGACGTCATCAGTCCCATCGTGTTTGAAGCTGCCTACAGCCTGGGTGAGCATGTGACCGGAGACGAGGAGAGGGAGCTGCCGCCTCTGACACCAGTGCTCCGCTGGAAAAAGGGACAGAAGATTGCCCAGAAGAATCAGGTCAGAACCTTGAAGCTCTGGACCGGGGCCTGGGGTGGCAGGTGCCTGTGGCGGAAGTTGTGGCCCTGGCGGACTGTGGCAAGGGCACACCCCCTCTCTGCGCCTCTCTTTCCTGATCTGCAAAATGATAGAACACATGTTTCGTGGGGGTCCTTCTAACAGCCACATGATTTAAACGCATTGAGGGAGTATTCCTCATAATCCCTTCGAGGCCATGAACTGGTTCCTTGGCCCCTGAACCTGACACTTGTTCCTAGACTGTTTCCAGAGCCCAGATCACACAGTAGGTGCTCGCTAAATGTTTTGTTGGTGAGGGCATGAGTGACATGAAGAAGCAAGAGCATCATCTTGTCGGGGTGCCGGAGGCTCAGTGGGTTGAGCGTCCGACTTCGGCTCGGGTCACGATCTCGCGGTTCATGAGTTCGAGCGCCGCGTCGGGCTCTGTGCTGACAGCTCAGAGCCTGGAGCCTGCTTCAGATTCTATGTTGCTCTCTCTCTCTCTGCCCCCACCCCTGCTCGCATGTGCATGCTCTCTCTCTCAAAAATAATTTTAAAGAATTAAAAAACAACAACAAGAAAAGAACATCATCTTGTAGAACCGGCGGTTGAGTTAGAAATCTTCAACCCAAGCATCGCTGGATAGCCCAAGCACTGCAAGTGTGGGTGGGCCGCCCATCCCGTCGGGTACTCATCAGATTCTGCTGTGTGGAACAGAGGTTCAGAGCAACGTCGGGTGCAGACCCTGCAAGCAGGAGCGAGCCTGTGAACTGATTCTGTACTGCAGCCCGGCCCGTCTGCCCTGAGCCATCCGTGAGATGAGCATCGCTGTCTACTACACAGGAAATATGCAAGGAATCTGGTCCCAAATCTGTTTTAAATCTTCCCTCAACATCCAAGATCACCACAGATCCAGGACGTTGGTGGGGAGAAGGTCAGGCAAAACTGCTTCTTGGCGAAACCAGACTCCTGTGCAGGTGGGAGCAAAGCTGTGGAACCACACGCTGCCCCCTCCCCCGCCAACCGCTCTGAGCTTAGGGGAAAACTAGCATGTCAGTGAGCCATGCCTTGCAGATTAGAGCTGTGAACAGAGCCACAGAGAAGTGTCAGCTTTGAGATGTCCATCCAGATGTTCAGTTCAGTGGTGAGGTTTTTAGCAAGGCATCCCAATTCTCTACCAAAGTACCTCCCACGTGATCTTGGGTCAGGTTCCCTAGAAGCAGAGCCTGAGGCAGGCATTTGGGGGCACATGGTCTGATGAGGCTGTGTTCTTAGGAGAAGCTGAAGGAAGGGATGGAAGTGGAAGGGACGGAGCAAGGATCTGGCCTCAGCTAGTCTAGCCTCAGCTGGGGAACTCGGGAGCACAAATTACACCAACAGGTTGTCTTCTCAGGACAGGAGGGGCTGGCCTTTTGTACCCCTTGTTAGTCAACCATCGGCTGGCTGGCTGGTGGAGAAGCGGAGCGTAGGTCTTCTTGAAGGAGATTCTCTTCAGCTTTGGACAGTTCTCTGTGGAAGAATGGGGGGGTGAGCCGTTAGCTGCCTACGCTGCCGTCAGCAGGGGGACGGGTAGCAGTTGTACAGGGATGTGAGCAGGGCGCCCAGCGCCCGCAACACATACGCATACAACCTACTGGCAACTCTGACTTTTCAGGTTCTCCTTTTGATTTCAAACACGAACTTCTTTCAAAACACAAGGACCCTGGAAGGTGGCTGGTTATTAACACTTGGAGCAGGCTGGGGACTCGGTAAATCGGCCCGATCAAAGCCAATGATGCAGGGACAGCTCAGTATTAAAGTGCTGTTCTTGGTCACTTCTGGTTCAAGATGGCCGACCAAGTACGTATGTTCACGCTTCCTGAGACCCCATTACAATGATTAAATACGAGTAAATAGGGACGGGGAGGAAAACACTGTGGGGGAAGGGGCAGCAGCCAATGAGAGAGTCTGTTAATTTTCTGCAGTGAGGGAAGAAGATGGAAGAGTGTTGGTGGGTGAACCTTGAACCATACATAGAGAGGCTGGGTGCCCGTCTACCCAGGGATCCAGAACGCTGCAGCCATGGCCAGGGCAGTGGTTTACAGAAGGGTGCCAGAGTGACAGGTGGGACTGAACAGGGAAGGGAGGTATTAAGTGAAGTTTAGTAAGTGGAAGAGTTGACTCTTCACCCCTGTCCTTGTCCCCATGTACTTGAGACATTCAGAGTAGCATGCAACCAGGCATTTTCTTCTCTAAAGAATTTAACAAATTGCTTGAGATAGTGTGGCTAGCTCCCCACAGGAAAGCCTTGCTTCTTCTGCATTTAGAGGCTCCGATGTAAGCCTCCTACCATTCGTCCCCAGATTGTCTAATCAGCCCTTTGGCCTTATTCCTAAATACAAATGGACAACCAATGAAACCTGAGATTGGAGGGGGCGATGTGGCACATTGAGAAGAAGAAAAAGACCAAAATGAACAACAGAATAGCTGACTTAGAAGGAAACAGGTTGTTCGGGGAATAGAAGAGATTATATAACCTTAAAAACCACCTTAAAATAGATGTAATTAACACAAGGAGATTTCAGAATATATTCTGTCCGTTAGGAAATGGTTGGAATTTTTTCTTTAAAGGGAAGAAACAGAAAAAAGAAAAGTTTCCTAAAAATTAGCTATATGGTTGCAGAGGCAAAAATTTTGTAGGATTAGAAGATAATGGAAAGAAATCCCCCAGTAAGCAGAGCTAAAAGACAAATAGAAGAGAGAGCTAAATTATCAATTTAAAAGGTCCTAGATTCAAGTAATAGGAATACCAGAAAAGGTAAACAGAGAAAATTTTAAAAGTTATAAGAGAGACAAAAGAATAAAATTTCCCAGAGTTAAAGGGAAACATTTTTTTTAAATTTAAAGGTCTCCCCAACTTACAAGCAGGATAAACCAAAAATATCCTAGATATAATTTCTAAGATATTTGTAATGTCACTGCTACTAAGATTTAAGGAAACTTCTAAATGCTTCCAGGCTAGAGAGTTCAGGATTGGTGGGGGGGGGGGGGGGGCGGTGGATATATGTCCACTTACAACATTATTGGAATCATACATACTAAACAGACCATCAGACTCCTGATTGGCAAGATTAGAAGCCAGAATATGGTGAAATAAGTCTTCAGAGTGCTGAGAGAAAGTGATTTGAAACTGGAATTTTATACTTAGCCTAACAGTAAAGTATGAGGTTGGAATACAGTAATTTTTCAGATAAGCAAGAACCAGATAGTTTATCTCCCTAGGAACCCTTCCAAGGAAATAAGTCTAGATGCACTCCAACGAAACAAAAGGGTAACAGCAAATTTAAAAACTAATTGACCAAATTAGAACAGGGGATCAGTGAACTTCAGGGAGAATGAAGCCAGCAATAGACAGAATAACAGAAAGTAACGAAACTTAAGATACAGTATAGATGAAATAACTTGCTTCTCAAATAAGAAAAATAAAGGCAATAGAAAACTCTCAGAAAAACAGAAATTTGGTCTATGTGTCATGGTTGAAACATAAAATGTCATGGGACTTTGAGCAAGTAGAAGAGTATAAGGAAGAGAAGGACTTTGATACTAGAAATATTCTCCCCGAAGTGGAAGTTAAGCATTTGCACCTGTTGAGCCTGTTGCAGAGTTGAGCTTTGCACCCATAGAAAAGGGTATGTAATCATGACACTTGTCTCGATTCTAATGTGAACAATCACGTAGCCATAAAATTAGCATTATTTATTGATTTTTGGTTACAGTAGAAAATGTAAATGTCATTAAATTTGACTGCCCAGAGGTCAAAACAGAATGATGATCGAAGTTCTCTTAACATCTTAATCTTTTAAATCGGAGAGTCGAGAGGTGGTGCAAAACTTGATGAAGTGAGAGCTAGCTATTTACGACTTAAAATTACAGAGGTCATCAGCGGAGTACTACCTCTTAAATTGTGGTTGCTGAACCAGCCATGTCAGCCTCTTTGGGGATCTCGTGAGAAACGAAAATTCTTGGGCCCCACCCCAGACCCACTGAATCAGAAACTCATGGGGGAGGCCCCAACAATCCGTGCTTTGACAAGCTGACCAGGTGGTTCTAAGGCAGCTGGGGTCTGAGAAGCCATGCAACAGAGGAGCTAAGAGTAATGATTTGCCTGTCCGCCTGTGAAAATTAGGAAGGCAGAGGAGAGGGGGCAATTGTGTGAGATAAGTTCCTGTCCATCGTGGCGAGAATTCAGTAAGAAAATGTCTAAATCTAATCGTCAAAAGAAACACGTGGTCGTGTGGCAACATGTGGTTGCCCCTGGACAGCAGGACTTGGTCCAGGGAGGTGTGTGGCAGGGGGGATCATTATTTTTTCTGAACCATGTGATTCTTTGATTGAAATGAAAATGAAAGAAAAATATTGTTCTTAGCTTGGGGAGATTGTGCAGGAGTCTGAGAAATATTCTGGGAGAGTGATCCTTGCTTTTTCTCCTTTCCCTGATTAGGTGGGAGGGGGACTAATTGAATGATCATCCTCCATGTGTCTTCCAGATGTTGGCTCGATTTGCGAGGGGGAGAAAGATTCTGAGAGCTAGGCCCGCTCCAGCGGACAGAGCTGTGTTTCAGCCCGCGTATGCATATATGACAGTTCCACAAAGAGAATCTGGCCTCTCCATAGGGAGGAATAATCTCATGGGAGCTCTTTAAGTCATGTTGCCAGAGAACATTAGGGCTTAAATACTGCAGTCTCTTTAACTAAAAGGCACCGAGCCCATGTAGGTACACAGGATTGTGCAGCGGCGTGAACTGAACCCTAGTGATTCTTTGGAGTCAGGGCCTGCCCTCACAGACGGTCTCGTTGAGGTGGTAACTGCACAGACGTGTAGAACCTGGAGACAGTGACGAAGCATGTGCAGTTCAGGCTTTCTGATGGATCTGCGGTGTTTTGCAGTGAGTGGGACAGAGCCTCCCCTCTGCTGAGTGAAGAACAGTTTTGGGAGAGTCTGGGCTGTGGGATATGGGCTAGGC